AAGAAGGAGTTGAAGAATGAGATGCACCAATCAATCAACCAGAGGTTGGAATTCATCAGTTTTCACTGACTAGCTCTGATTGGTGGAAAAATGGGGAATGCATTTAAACTAAGAGATCCAATCATTTAACAAGGCACGTTTTCAGTTTTGATGCTAAAAGAGAGCATTTTTTTGTTGCAATTTTTGTCATTTATGTCTCTTTTATACATTATTGTCCTTAAAAAACTGAGAAAGGTATCAGTGTGTAAAAGCCTGACTGTTGTCTCTCTTAAATTAAGGCAAAATCATCTTATATGAGTAGAAATATGGCCTGAGTTTGGATGCAAGGAACCAAAGGAGCCAGAGTTTGGCTTTGGAAAGCCTAGAGAAAAAAGGCTCAAAAGAATTTCAAAATATGAAAAGACTCTGAAGCAAATTTCTGCACAACGAAATGTGGAGCTCAGACTTCTTCAGCAAGAATGTGACGAGTGTAAATGGAATCAAAGAAAAAAAAAAAAACTGAAATCTGTATCAGTCAGGAAAATCCTGATCTGTACTGGATTCAGTTCAAATTTTAAATTTGTCATATAAATAAAAACCTTGGAGGAACTGCACAGCAAAAATGTCTCTAAATGTCACTAAATGATAAAAGCAGAAAAAGAAATATAGCAAAGAAAAAGAAAAAAACAGCGTTTTAAATCTGAAATTTGAAACCCATTTGTAAGTGTAAGAGCTTGCATCCGTGAAAGAGAGCCAGCCTTGTAGGAAACGGTGGCTAATGGTGTGTGACAGAGAGTGCATAGTGAAGATGAACTGAATCTATGAGTGTGTGAGGAAAAAGGCAGTTTTTGGCCCCATCATATCATATCCCAGCAAGCCCAGCACTGTGCGGGAAACTCACCGGTTTCTCCTCTATGTCCCATTAAACTTTCATACGCCGGTTAATGCTGATGGCTCTACAAACCACTTTACTACGTACACACAGGTAGTTCACACAGCGGTGCCACTGACCTGTACCTTTCACAGACACGGTGCCATTAAAAATAGAACAAAACCTGGATGGGTTACAGCAGCTCGCCATCCAGGTGGAAAAGGGTCTAACACGCTTGTTTTATGCTACTGTATGTGATGGCTTGTCTGTTTCATGACGATGTGTGTGTGTGTGGGTGTGTGTGTGTGTGTGTGAGAGCCCCCACAGGGGTTGTGCATGAGTGCTCGAGGCCTGTTGTAACATAAAAGAGAATGAACACACAGGGGGGCAGACGAGGGTCAGGTGGGGCTGAGTCTAACACTGCCGCTGTGACCTCTGACCCCGCACAAAGCTCTGACGCAAAGGAGTCAAGTAGCTGCCACCAGTCAAAGAGACAAGTTAACCGAGAGCGCAAGTCAAAAGCCCACCGACTACGCGGGAAATCTGAATGCCTTGCAAAAGTGTCACCATCCTCCTGAACTTTTTCACACTTTGTGACGTCGCAATCGCAAACTTGAGTGCATTTCACTGAGATTCGCTGTGGGAGACAAACACAAAGCAGAGCATCCTTTTGCAGTGGAGGGAAAGCGAACCACAGTTACGTTTTATGAATAAAAATCAAATACGTGTGGCCTGCATTTGTATGTAGACATTTTGAATCAACACTTTGCAGAACCCCCTTTTTACGCAAGTAACAGATTTGGAGTTTGTTGCTACCTGCTTGAACTGAAGTTTAAAAAAAAAAAAAAAAACTCTTTCTCTTTGCAAAGAGCTCACAGAGTGTCTGCAAACGTCAATTTTCCACATCTGGAGCCTTCACAGAACAGCTGGATTCATATTGAGATTATATTACACACATTTTGACTCTGTTTACCAACAAGTTGACTTCTGAAGCCAGCAGGTTTCACTTCTTTAGGGGGATTCAGAGTAAATCCTTGACACACTTTTGTCATTTTTCATTAGTAAAAATCACATTTATCCCTTTTTCTTCCACTTTTCTACAAATTGTTTTTGGCCAAACACATTAAAGTCTGTGGTAGTAACATGACAAGATATGAGAAAGTCGGTGGCAAAAGTACATTCACAGAGCAAAAGCTATGAAGCATTAAAGCTCAAATGTTAAACATCTTTAAAATGTCAGCTGATTTACTGTTTAGCTGGTTTCAGTATTAATTTGTTGCCCAACGTCTCGTTTCCTCGTGTTCCCGGTCTCGTTTCACTCCGGGGGTTTGTGAATCAACCCAGCACCCTTGCAGCAACAAACCCCGCATTTTTCAAGAAGGACGTTGCGCCGTTCTGCTTTATCTAAACAGAATAAAATCAGCATAGCATTGTGAATCACTGTCATCCCCCTCGTCCAAGGAGCCCAGCTGCCTGCGCAAACTTCCCCATCCGTTTGTCTGCTTATTCAGATGCAAGGCCACGGCCTGGGACGCCGCAACATAATGGCTCATCTGTGGTTTATCCTCAGCTCTCCAGCTCAAACTGAGTTTTCCTCACCTTCCTCGTTTTTCACTCTGTCATCTGACTCGCTTTCACGTGATTCTCTCTTTTCTCTCTCTCTCTCTCTCTCCCTCTCCTTCCACATTTTTTTCTTTTGTATCTCATTCTGACATTTGCCATTTTTCAACACTTGGAGCGCAGAAACTCCTCCCCGCGGGTCCCTTTGCCTCGCCCTCCTTCCAACATCTGTCCCTTCTCCTCTTTGTGTACGTCTCTGGAGAAATGGCAGGTAACAGGTCATTCTCGTCCCTGCACGCTGTTTTTCTCTCTTTATCTCCATCACTTGTCCTTTTGTCTTGGTTGCAGTGAGAGGTGAAACCGGCTGTCTCCAAAATGAAATGAGTCGAAACAGATTTCTAAAAGCGATACTAGGAATTGGGGACGGCTTGTTTTCGTTGTGCCATTAAAGAAATAGTTCATGATTTTTTTCCCCACATTAGAAAAAAGCTATCTTCCTCTTCAGCCTCTGGGTCAAAGTAGTCTGGATTTATGGGAAATTTAAATTTCTTTCGGCTCCCAGTCCAAAACAAAATAAGAACGCCCCACTGAAACCAGAGTTATAACTAGTGAAGCTGGAAGTTGCCAAGAAGCCCCACATTCAGCTTCCAAGATGGCTGCCATGCATGAAAATATCCTAAAAGTTGCATCTGTTTAATATATGATTTATATTTACTATATATACTGTAACACCTCTATTTGTGAAAAAGGTCATTTAGTGTGTGAGTGCATGAAATGGAAAGAATTGTTGTCATTCATGTCTAAAACAATTATAAATAACACTGAACTATTTACCTGCAGCAAGGATGCACATAACAACACATATGACCAGTGCATCATTATACTTAATGAAAGTGTGGAATGGCATATTGAAGGTAAAATAATAGTCTTTTAGCAGAACCTCAATTCCAAAATTTTGAACTGTCCCTTTAAAAGCTAACTTAAATCAAAGGCAACATGCGTCTTAATAATTTAGAATATCATTAAAGAGTTTTCAAAAAGTGAAGTTCGAGATGTTTCCAGCTTTTATTGCCATTTTGATGGTTACATCTTACAACTAATGGCAATCACAAATTAATTGTTCATCTTTTTCTACAACGCCTTTTTCCTTCCACTTAACTTTCCATGAACATGCTAGCATACAGCGCTCTGTGAACATTTAGCTTTTTTTTTTTTGGAGCAGCAGCGTTTTGTGGAGTACTCTCCTTGTGGAGAGGCGCCATTTCCTGTAAACCAAAATCGTCGAAATGATTACAACACACTGTGTCGTCGGGTTTTGTAACTTTAGCTTCACTTTTAAAATAAATCACTTAATTAAATAAAACTTTTGATGGCATCTCTTAAGTTTTAGGCAACTGCATAAAACTTGTGCATTTGTGTAACTCTGCAGGTTCAAAGTTTGCTTATACCTCAGGCCATCTTCACAAGCTATGGAGATCTACTATTACAACATTTTGCTGAACTAGTTTTTGCTTTTTATTCGTCCACAAACGAGACAGAAAGAAGAATCTGTTGGATGCCTAGAAACCAGACCAGGCTGGACTGAGCTCAGACACCTCTGACAGCAGCACTTATACACTGAGGCCGGTCTGGATGCTCCCAACATGCGTCCCTTTTCTTCCACATGAGCGCAGATAAAACACAGACGGCGCCACTGCTTCACTCCCCAACCCCCCTCATCTTCCTCTCCTCTTCCTCCTTGACTCCACACTCCCTCCGCTCCCAACCGCGCAGCAGCCAAGCCATGGGGACAGAAAGAGACGCAGTCAGTCACTCCAAGTGGAGATTCTTGCCAAGATGGGAGCATTCATGCGCCTCAATAAACAATAATAAATACTAGTCTGTGGCTCCCCTACAGATTATGTTTGTGAATGAAGCTCATGCACACAATTAAAAAACAAACAAACGAAAAAATAAATACAGGAATAAAAGGGTGTAATTCCCTTCTCCTTCAGCATGGTTGCACTTCTCCGTACACCTTGCTCTCTCCTTCTGTCTCCCCCTCTCACTTCTTCCACCGGCCCCGGAATCGATCTCCGCAGGATCGATAAGTTGGCATGAATATTCCCTGCCTGCCGAGAGTCTAGTTGGGGAGAGTCGGAGGCTGAGGCTCAGGCGCAGGCAGCGGAGGAGAGGGGAAGGACGGGGAGCGGAGGCTGGAGAGCGAAATACCCGGAGAAAGGAGCACAGAGGCGGAGAGGAAATAAAACATCACACGCAGGGGGTGGATGGAGTAACGGCGCATCGGACTGGACAGCAAATACGAGGATATACATCTTTTTTTTTATTTATCTTAATGCACGGATAAATTAATTCCGATTCAAACAAAAGGTGCACAGGAATCTGGTCAGAAAAAAAAGAGGAGACCGGGGGAAGTGAGTGTGTAAAGTGGGTGTGTGTGTGCGCCGACAGCTCCTCCAGCTCTGCAAGCGCATCGGGGCGGGTCTGCAAGGCTGGCCGACATGGAGGAGGTGTAGCACAAGGAGGATAAGGAGGAAAGATAAAACAATACAGTAAAAATAAAAACAAATTAAAAAAAAAAATGTCTTACCGGAGTTGGAGCGGAGAGCCAGAGGGGACTTGAGACGCCAGGCGCTGAGGTCAGGGGCAGTTCTCTGAAAGACGAACGGCACCGGCAAGGGAACAAACATGATCTTCTTCTTCCTCCTGCTTCTCGTTTGGATGCAAATAATCTGACACAAGCTGGGTGACAAGGTCTGTCCTCCTCTGATGCTTCTGGCTCTTCTCTGGCAGACAGCTTTGGGGGAATATTTGGTTTGTAGAGCTCACAACATTCGCAGTTAGATGTGTGCACATGTAGCCTCGGCTGCGCACTTTTTTTTTTTATGTACACGTGTGATGCATTAGAGTTTTGGTGTAGCCTAAATGTGCATAGAGCATTTATATATAGATATATATTTATATAGACGTAGGGTGGTCCCTTGAGTAACTAACACGCAGACGGGGAAGAGAGGAGCTCGACTTCTGCAGCTACGTGAAAAGTTCCCTTAGAATTAAAGCTGAGAATAAAAGCTGACGCACCTGCGCCTTCCTTCTACTACCTTTGCTCTGTTAAAGCTTTCTCCTTGAGTAAACATAGAGGCCCCCGGAGCTTATTTTACCCTCTCACTCCTCAGCGGTTCCTGTAGGTGTGAAGAAGGCATGAGAACAGTCGCTGAGCCTATTCCTGTGGCGTCGCCGCTTTGGTATTCGCTTTTGCAGCTTAGAACAACACCATCGGAGATAACACAAAGACAGGACAAGAAAAGACACGCAGAGTTGTTAAGATGTATGCATTTTGAGGGGCTATTGTAGATATATTTGGTCTTTAGCTGCTCCTTAGTCGTCTACATTCATCCAATACGCGCAAACGCGCCGGATCGCGCATTCAACACCGCTCGGTTTAAGCGTTTTCTTTCTTTCTTTCCTAAATCTAATAATAAATAGGTATAAACAAATGGTAAATAAAAGGGGGCACAAACAAACAAGAGTCAGAGAACACAGCAGCGAGCGCGCATGGCACTGACGCTCCTCCTCCTTCGCTCTCTGTCACAAGGCAGTAATTAAAACGCAATCAATCGATAGATAAATAAATAAACATCTAAATAAATAAATAGTAAAAACGGAAATCCCCACGAACAGAAAAGGAACCAAAAATAAATAAATAAAAACACAAGACGGCGTTGCTATTCTAGAATCCGACCATGGTGCCGCGTCTTATCGGAACACTTGCCTATATCTCCGTCCATCCGCCTGTGTGTCTTTGTTTTTTGTTTTTTTTTGTTTGTTTTTTTTATCTTTCTTTCTCTCTTTTTTGATTTTTGCCTGTCTCTCTTTTTTTTTAGTCCCCCTCCCGTTATAATTTGGGAACCCCCAGATAGCTCACTCGACCCGGCTCCCCTCCAGGATTGTAGCGATCTGCCACCAGGCTGGCCGCAACATTGAGGCGAGAGAGGAGCCGCTACTACTCACACATCACCACCCCCAACCTCCGCACCTCCCCTCCTCCCTCCCTCAACCCCTTCCTCCTCCCGCCTCCCACCACCGCCCCTCCTTTCCCACCTCTCTCTCGTTTTCACTACCGCTGCAAAAGGTATCCTGTATTGATTTTTTTTTTTTGCACCGCCACCATCACCCCCCCACCCTTCCACCAACACCACCTCCTCTTAATAATACCGACTATAATGATGCCAGCGTTGATCAGTGCATTACTGTTTGGACTCCTTGAGAAGGGACAAAAGTCCACATAAGAGGCACCTACACCACAGCCGATATCCGTCAGGATGCAAGGCTTGCTCATAATGAAGTTATCACGCTGCTCCTGTCCAGAGCCGGCCCGAGGAATAAGCGAATTAAGCTGCGCCACCCCAGTCAGCAAGAGTGACTTCCGAAACAGGTGCAGGCAGGTACCAGGTTGCCCAGGGACGCATTGAAAGGGCAACGAGCACCAGATAGAAATATAGAAGATATTTGTCACCTGGGCCATGAAGAGGTTTTCTATTGCTTGACGCATGAGCTGTCGATGGGGTTGAGTGGAAACCTCCTGGTAGCAAGATTAGCTTGCAATGCTTTGTGCAGAGCTGCATTGCATTTTATTCTATATATTTATCATTTATGTCGGTTGAGGGGTAAACATGTAAAACTATTTTCTATTTTCTACTTAAACTGTAGGGGGGGAAAAATGAAATCACTCATTTATTTTTGTTTTGATCTGGGGTCATATTTGATGAGTCAGAATCAAAATAAAGTGTTTTTTTTTTTAAAAAAAAAAAGGTTTTCAGAAAATAAAGTCGTAATTAAATTACATTACATGCCATCTGAGTATGTTTATGATTATTTATGTGTGCAGGTTTTGTTACCATGTCACATGAGGGTCCAGTTTACCAGATTATCTCATACAGATAATTTATTGTTGCACTGCTAGTAAAACATGAATCTATGGGGGTTAAATGCAATACATGGAATAAAGATTTGGGCCATTTAGAGGGATTTTATAATGGGCTCTATTCATACTTCGCAGACTGATTTTCTCTAGTTTCCAATAGAAAATGGAACAAATGCCAGCATTTTGACCAGAAAGGTCAGAGGTCACAGGGGTTCTGTATCCAGTAAGGCTGCTTTGTAGACAAAATTTTATAATAACATGAAATCAGAACAAAAAATAAATATATGTAAATATAGTGTAATGCAAAGCCAGAGCAGACTTTTCATGCAAAGATTACATTTTAGCATCTTAATGACTATTTATCACAATAACTTAAGAAAGTTAATTATAGGAAAAAATAAACTTACTTCCTGAATTTATGTACAACTACATACACAATTAAATGAGTTTCAACTTTAAGCCAGAGTGGTGATTGCTAATCATCATATAGCACATGTGATGAATTTGACTATAGATATTTAGCATTCAGATGAGCTAAATGTGAGTAAATATGGTGCTTGTTCGTATTTTAAATGCAGCAACAGGCATTAGCTGTGTAGAAACGTCACCATGGCTGTGTGGTGGTTTGAGGCACAAGAACAACAAGTTTCTCCTGTAGTTCAGTTACATGGGTATGAAACGGTTTGTTTACTTGCTGTAAATGGAAGTAGAAAAAGACAAAAATGTAAAGCATCGAGGATAAATGGGGTAATGAATTAACGAACATCAGCGGTTAATAAAGTAAATCTCTGTTCTTCCAGGTCTTGGCTACAAACTTCACTGCTAAGCAACACTGGCTCACCATTTAAACAGACTGTATATCCTTCAGTCATTTTTTTTTTTACCTTAAAGGTTTTTGAACATCAAATTTGAAAGAATTTAAATTGATCATAATTTGAATATTTTTTTTTACTTAAAATGGAAAAATAGTTGTAGTTATACTGAGATAAATTGTGGCATTAATTTAATTATGCTAGCTTGATTATTTATGCCACTTGCTGTCACATTTCATGTAGTCGCTGCTTTATTCAATGAATAAATAACTATTTTCTTTGTGATCTTGTAACCAAAAGTAATGTAAATGTCCCCCATTGCAAACTACCTAATTCTGCATTAAAAATGTTCTGTTTTCTTTTCTTATTGTTGTAGTGTTGGTTGTTGTGTAACCAAATCGCAATCGAATGTTTTGCATTTCTATAATTCATAAAAAATACTTAATTCACAGAAAAACACACTGGCATGTGAGGGTGTAGGTGGGCCACGTTGGTACAAAATATAAATTTATTATATTTTAAGGAAATGGGAAAGAAATAAATGGCAATGTGTCGTTATGAAGCTCGGTACAAATCAGCAGAGGAACAAACTGACCCAGAAAGTATGTTGTGTGACATAGTTATTGAAGCTGTTGTCTGAAGGGGGTCACTTCAAAACATATAAAAAAAGAAGAAGAAAAACACAACTTAGACAATTTACTTTAAATATTATGTTTCATTCTTTTTATACTTGGAAGTCAGGTTTTTCAAGTTATAAATATATCAAATAACTAGTGCGTGTTGCCTTGATAAACTGTTTACTAGCACTTTAGTTTCTAAATGCATAAAATATAGAAAAAAGCATTTTGTCAAGTTGGCACCACAACAACTATGAGACCCAACTGCTTCTGCTCCAGAGCTGGAACCGGTTCTTCTCATGTGCCACGTTACTCCCAGATCTGAGCTCCGACCTCCGAGACAAATCAAACAGGACTTATGTGGTCCTCCTGCTGGTGATAAAAAAACGGCTCTAAATCAAATTTTGCTTAGAGCTGCAAAGAATCTTGGCCTGTCCTGCTCCTGACCACATTAGGCCCTCCTTAGTGGACCAAAGTGGACTTTCAGGTTGGTGCTAGAAGACAGGAACAACTGCATAATGTATCAGATCACCATTGCCATGCAACAACAGCATGTGCAAATCACAGTGGGCTGATTAGATGCAATATTTTGTTGGCTATGATACTTCAAGTGTAGTGCATTAAATATGTCATGGCTTTAACACACTTGGTTTCTGTTTTATGCTCCCTGGTGAGATGGATTTTACTGATCCACATCCTGAGAAAAGGGAGGGAAACGTTTCAAAGTCCTTGTAGCAATTGGAAAATATAGAAATAATATTGAAATGTCATGTTTTCCTAATACAGTTCTAAACAGGAAGCACGTATAGGTAACTTGGCTGAAAAAAACTCTTTCATGTATTTTTTTTTTATTATTATTATTATTTTTTAGAGTGAACTGCATGAATTTGATAAGTGCATGAAAAATCCCCAGGATTGTATTTTGAATAAATGTTGACGATGCTCCCGGGTTACAGGTAAAATCACTATCTGCCCCTGTCGTCCCTGGATAGCTCCCCTCTGTCCTCGCTTCCTCTGCAGCGGCGTGTTACATGCTTGTCAATTACGGGCCAGCATCAGTCAGCGCCGGGCGCTTACACACCAGATTATTGTCGATATAGATTTTTAAATAGAAAAATCTATACTTTAAACATCACAGTCAATACGGGCAAATCAATAGGAATGAGCCCGCTCTTGCTCTTGCTCCTGTTGGGCCTGAGAAATCCCCCCCACCTCCTCCTCCACCAGCACCTCCACCTCCTCCCTCCATGCCTCCGTCATCAGGGCTGCATGTTTTAGTATCTGCAGGTGATTAGGCCTGCTTGAACTTGAGATTGGACGCGTGCAGTGAGTTATTTGCTTCTCATCGCCATGTTCCCCGTTCACTCAGTCATCAACCGACAGCCTAATTGCCAGAAATGTGAGCGGCACACTAATCTGGCGTGCTCTTAATTATGAAAAATGCCTCATCCCCTGCAGAAGACAACCCGGTTTTATTGTCCTTCTCCCTCCGCTTCACACATGACAGATGACATCCGCAGGTCCAATGAAGAAGAGGAGGGAGAGAGGAGTAATGAAAAGGTAGGAGAAGAGCAGAAAGGAAGAAATGAGGGAAGGGAGAAGTGACTAGTTGTCCTTCAAAGACCCCCTTCTCTCCACAAAGGGAGCCATGCGCGCCCCCTTTCCCTCCTCCCTGCACTCCTTCCAGACAAAAGCAATTATTTCTTGTAGAATGTAGTGTGGCTGTGCGCGTCTGTGGAAGAGAGGGATGGAGGGAGGGTGTGTGAGATTGAAGGAGGGGAAAATAAGATGGTGTTGGAAAGGGGTGAGGAAGATGAGGAGGTGAGGAGGAGAATGGGGCGGGGGTTGGGGGGTGAGGGTGGTGGCGCTAACAGCATCCACCCGTTTGTCCTCCACACACTCGTCTTGCCAAACTCTTCTTTTTCCTCCACCTGACACGGAAAACTGCCAACCAGGTAATCTCCCAGACATGAAAACCTTTTTCAAACACCTGCCTGAGTTTCGGGGTCGTTCGCTCACCGGCAGAATGAGGCAAACGAGGGTTTCAATTGAATTATCAGTATTTTTTTTAACCCAATTAAGGCGGATCTCCCTCATCATGTTCCACTGCGTCGTGTAGTTTGACAAGTACAAACCCCAACACAAAGGCGGGGATACCTGGTGATGACACCCGTCTGCGGTCTCACATTGAGTCCATCTGTCCGTCTCAAGCCCACATCATGAGTTTCAGCCCAGTCGGTGCTTCTCGTCTGCTGCCTATGGGGCCCCCGCAGCGAGCTTCAGTCCCCCGGGAGTCCCAGGGAGGACTCCCCTGAGGTGGGACAGGAGGGGTCGCTACAGCCAATAACCCCCACTGGACCGCTCTCACTGACTGTCCTGACTGTCCCCCCCTCCCGCCGATCCCCCTTACAATCCATACAGACCTATGATATCTGGCTCCATTGTTTTCTATTCGGTGCTTTCACACACACAAAAAACGGTCTTATAGAAAATTGTCTCTTTTTCTCTTTGTGGTGTTTTGCTTCTATTCTTTTCTGAGATACAGTAATGGATGAAATATTGAACAGTGGATGCTCTCTGCAAAGTTCAGAGATTGAAGATAATTCATGTAGTTTTGTTGCACAATCCAAGCTTTTATCAAAGAAATTCAGGAGACGTTTCCTCTAAAATCAGCAAACTTCATTTCTTCCAATTTTTCTGGAACATTCAGGATGCACATATCTCATCAGTTAATATATATATATTTGTAAAAATTTTTACAGTTTGTTATTTTTGATTTCTGCTTGTTTTAAATGCTGCATTTAAATTTAGCATTAAGTAAACTACAGTACTCTTAGGAAGTAAAATATTCATTTCTAAAGTGTACACATCTCGAGAATAAACAAGTTATTGGAATAATCAATCATTGTCTTTATGCTTGAAAGGTTCTTTATTATTGCGATAATCAGTTTGTTTAAAAAATGTCAGTCTTACAGTATATTAAAATAAACAATAATGTTTTAATCAATAAATAAAACATGCATTGTTAAACTTTTCTGTTACAGTTAATTTGATCTATCTATCTATCTATCTATCTATCTATCTATCTATCTATCTATGTATCTATCTATCTATGTTTTTTCAAGTATGTCACACTTTTAAATTTTTTTGAAGTATTTTCTTTGCAGATGTATTTGATCATGTGGTTTTCCATCACGACAAACAGCAATTTGTTCAATTTCTCACCACCACATGCTTTCAATGTCACATCCATGCTGTAGGTCAGAAGGACGCTGCATGAAATATTTATCCAATCAAAAGGAGACAAAAGTATCCTCAGGCTACACATTAGTCATAAACCGGAGCCATCCATTAGTCATTTTGTTTATTGCACTCTTGGTAATCGCCCTTTTATTCATTTTTGAATGATTGATTTGA